ATTTCGTCATTAATTGAGTTTCAATTATTTTTGTGATAATTTAATTGCAATTAATTTTTCGGTAGGCCTGATATTTACATACAGTATCGTAGTACATAATCAAATAATAATAATACGGAATAATAATAAACTTTTACCAAATATACTTCTATTTATACGATTGTAAAAAATTTAAAGTATTTTTTATAAAGGTTAATTTTTTAAATTATGGAAAAATTCTTAACTAATCTTAATTTCTTAATGTTACATATTATTCGAATTACAATAGAAATTATATTGTAAAAAAAAAAATAATAATAACCCGTTCACTCTAGAATTAGATTTTCGATATAAATAATTTATCACTCTAAAATTATATTATCATCATAAATAACATTAGATTTTGCCAAATTTCGTACGTATCAGTTATTTAAATAATATCATCGTGTAACGTGAAGGGATCGAAAGTTTAATAATCGACTCTTGTATATTGCCATAGAATCAATAGTTCGATTATCGAACACGGATCTTTCCCTATTAGCGCCTCGAAATTGTTGTGAAATCATCGAAGTAGGATTATGTTGTATAGCCGTTGCCCAACTATCTAACTTCTCATATAGTTCTACAATATTAGGACGTTCTTCAGGATTTTTATGCCAGCATCTCTTCATTAGTGATAAGTATACTTCCGGAGTATTCGTAACGATTTCTGGTCGTAAACCATTACATATGCGTGTTGCAAGATCAAGGTCATGAGGACCTTTACAAAATGGGCGCTCGCATTCTGATAAAGTCCACATTATAAGACCAAAACTATATATGTCTGATGCTTGTGTATAATTATTGCCTTTTAATACTTCAGGTGCAACGTAAGGCAAGACACCATAAATGTCAGAATTCGTTCTATCTGCAGGACCATATAAACCGATGTCTGTGATTATTGCATTATTGGCCGAAATTAACAAGTTACCACCATGAAGATTGCCGTGATAATGACCATTATCATGTATTCGTTTAAGACCATATATTATACTGCGAAGCATAAAAATCACATTTTCCCAACGAAAATTTTCAATATCATCGATGTATTGATATAAATTTTTATCGTATAGTCTCATGACGAAAATAATGCAACCTTTAGGATCTCGTGATACGCCAAAGAAATCAGCAACAAACTCACCATATAGATACTGATGATGTTTCAAAATCTAAATAGGATAATCATCTTATTAATCAAGATAGATTTAAGAATTGTTAAATATACATATAAAAAATATACTAACATTATCCAAGTATTCTGTACTTAATGATTGAGAATTTTCAATCCTTTTTAATGCACATTCTATTGGACCACTTCTAATCCAGTCAGTATCATATTTATCCCAAATATTTCTTGGACCATCCACCCAGATTGCGGAATAAATAGTGCTATAAGAACCGCGCGATTTAAATTTAATACAATCAAGATCATCGAATGGAATCCATTCAAGGTAATTCATACTCTTTTGCGCGCAGCGCTGTGTAAATTGAATAAGATTATCCATTTTTTTGTCATTACTAGTCCATTTATTAAAATTTCGCACGTTCCTTTCGTTTTGGCATGGACACCACGAATAATTGTTAAGAATTCGTTCACACTCAACACACGTATCTGGTGATAGTAACGCCATATTTAAAGGACAGCTAAATGAATAGTTTTGAGATTTGAATTTATTAATTTAGATGTTTTATGCAAAATATTATCAAGGATTCGTTTAAAAAAGAAATTATAAAATACTTACAAGAAACGCCAACGAAGTGTAATTTTTTATTTTTTTTTGGTATTGATCGAGACATTTATAGACAAAATAACACTCATGGTGAATATATTAGAATCACTTGATCGAATATTTAATTGGTTTTGTTATAAATAGTTTAAATTCAAATATTGTAGTTAGTGCTAATTTGGCAATTTAAAAAAATGACGTGAAAATATTCGGTCATGTGCGCAAGTTCTGTTGCACCGGGTAGTTGAGAACTTTCCAATAGAAGTTTTTATGCTGTCATTTTCTTTGTTCTTTATTTTTTATTTTATTTTATTTTATTTATTTATTATTTTATTTTATTTTATTTATTTATTATTTTATTTTATTTTATTTATTTATTATTTTATTTATTTTTTTTATTTATTATTTATATTTTGCAAAGAATATAATCGCGCACTGCGGGTGATCAAATTTGATAATTCATAAATTACACGATCCAATATTACTGTATCAGGTATACAGTAAATTCGTATAATTATTATACGATCACAATATCAGAAATTCTGTAGACAAAGATTTTATTGCTTCATAATTGATAATAGAAATATTTTATAAATTCGATCCGAATAACATATATATATATTATACTGTATTATCGTGTATATTATCTTAATGATATATACTTATTATTAAAAATAAATCTCATGGCTTAGGCGAGAATCAAGAATAAATCTCATGGCTTAGGCAAGAATCAAGATATTCAAGGCTATTTAGGAATTCTAATTAATTAGTGAAAGCGCTTGTGATTCTATCAGTAAGCCAAATAAAGCTGCAATAAATTAATCGCCGTAGTCAGCCGTTCTTAAAAGGGAAATACCGTATTCCGTTCGCCAAGGTACCCGATGTGACAAATAACATAGATCAATTTTTAAAATATTTTTTATACATCATGTGATGTGTAATACTCGTGATTCAGAATTTTTTCAATTGTAAAAAAATTGCATCACACGGGTATTTTGGCGAACGGAATACGGTAATAATTTTTTCTTTTAAGGTAATTAGCCTATAAAAATTTTTAGAAATAGCGCATAGAATTTGTCTGTAAAATTATGTCCGGTAAAATTCTACTACTAGACGGATGTTCACACGTAACACAAACTATGATTGGACAAAAATTACTACTAGACATGCAAATTTTGTATAATTTCTCCGGACATTAACAGATCCTGTTAACCTAGTGGTAATAATTGTAACACAGTCTTATTTTGTATCAATAGGTGCAAATATACTGTACTTAACCATTGTTATGTTGTTTTTGTTCACTTGGCATTTTTTAAAAAAATTTGTAATCGATATACAGATATACCATATAAAGTCAAATCTCCAAAACTGAGTCTGAATAAACCGAATTGACTGTATATATCACCGATTTTTTTTTTTTTACAGTATTTGCAATTATTAATCTTGGCTGCATTGATCACTGTATTTGAAATCACGAGACATTACAACGTTTCATACAATTATCTTTGAAAATCAATAGCATCACATAAAGAAAAACAATTACTCATAATTTGGAAACGAATATAAACATTGATAGATGCTTTCTGCAATAGTTATTTAATACAATAAGAAAGCGAACCTGTTACAGATCTGAGGTAAATAATTACAAGTCACATGAGATTTATAATAGCAGACAGAGATTCAAAGTTACGTTTTTTTCGATATATATCATCAAAATGGAATTTTGATATCACTTTTATTACATTCAGTAACAGATTTTGGAATAAGTATTATTCATGAAATAAGCAAACTTTTTTTAATGACAATGATCATCTGTATGTGAAATAAAATTGATACACCGCTTATTTGAAAATAAATATTATCTAATTTATCAAACGTTATCTAATTTATCAAATGTTATCTAATTTATCAAATGTTATCTATTTCATCAAAATTTGAAACCCTTTAGTGTTGAAAATAGAAATTTAGATTCATAGCCCACAAAACATGTAGATTGAAAATTTTCTGGTTTATGCATTGATTTTGTATCGGCATGCTTTTTTTGACATTGATCAATGTTTGGCATTAAAGCCACGGTTACAGCTGTTTTAAATATTAATTCTTGTTTAGAAATCAAAAGCAATTTTTAAAATGTTCGGTGCATAATAGCAATGATAGAAATAAAGTATATGATGGGCAAGGAATTTCTTAATTACCGAATCTATAAATATTCTATAAATATTGACCTATAAATATTGACAAAGCATCTTTTTTTTTTTTTATTTGATTATGATCTGAATACTATATTCTGACAAATATTAAAACAGTGATCAGAAAGATAATGTCTTATTCAATTAAGGAAGTAAAAAGTCAATCTTGCATGTAAAATTTTTTCGAATTAAATAGCTCTAACTAAAGTCGGGTATTTTAGTGTGAGGACATAAATCATGTGGCAAAATAAAAATTCACGTTTGGAAAATACGGTATGGCAAAGGAAAAATTTCATCATAAAAGTGTAAATTGTAGCACCATTTATAGTTTTAGGACTTCATTGCTTTATCGGGATTTATTTAACTCTTTCATAAATATACATATACGTACGTATATACATACGTACGTACATACATACATAACAGATAACCATAACAGAGTTCTTTGTTAATGAATGTATAACGATTATCTAATACGTATAACGATAAAAGTTTTTTTTTTATGGTAATGGTACAGACCGGTCTAGGCTATAACTCGGGATACTGTGAGTTATTTGATTATTAATCATTATGGCATTTAATTGCTGATTCATATAAGAAGAGCAGTATTTCATATGCGCAAATTACTATTAAATTTATTATAAATTATAAAATCTTCTTTTCCTCCATAGGAAACTATTTTTTTTTTATTATACTATATTGGATATTATCTATTGAAGAACAATTGCATAGTTAAATTCTATTCCACTAATGTCTTAACTGCCTATAATATAAATCCAATGATTTTGAAATGTGTGGCCTACTTTTTTTTCTTTTATTATAATATTATGAAAAAATCCTCGTTTTTGAATTTATACATTTTCTTTGAAATATAATTTCTTTAATTAAACCTAATAATTAATCCTATTTGAATTATTATTTAAAAGTTTATTAAAAAGTTTCTAATTTTGTTTGTTCTTAATTTCTCCCGGAATCATTGGTCATGTGCAATGTGGCTGGAATTAACTTAATAATTTACAATATCCAGTTTACATATTTCAAAGAGTAACACTCTAATTTAAATTAATAAGAAAGTTTTGACTAACAAAATGGTCTAAATACATCATTAATTCATGTTCTAAACTACCTCTGAAATCAGGAAATATAGAATGAATTATTAAAAACAACAGTTACGAGTTGCAACTACTTTTTTAGGTTACATAATTTATTTTTAACATTAACATTGTCTGACCTCTTGTTACAACAGCAAAGATTGTTCCATATGTACTTTACAAATAGTTTTTTGCATGGATCACCAATAGGACAATCAACGAGCCTTTCTAATTAGAGATCCATTGAAGCACAATGTAAGATTACGTTGCTGATAATTGTCAAAACAGTTGTTTTCGGCATTGATACATATCAAAATATGGATATAATTACTTGTTCATTTTTATCCGTTCAAACAAGTAACATAATGCTCAATAAGTTTAGAATTCTGACGTAATTATCTTATAAAATTTTAAAATTATCTACAAATTATTATTAATGGTTTTTTACAATCTGCAGTTAAAATTTCTGAATGTCAGTTATATTCAATGCCTGGAACCGATAGGAGATCAAAGATTATTGTTCTCTTCTCAAGTACTTCTCTAGGAAAAAAGTTTGTAGGTATAACTATAATATTATGTTTTAATTAAAGTTTAGATTTAAATTATATAAATTCTGTTATTTCATTCATATAGACGGATAAAAATAACTTCACTAAAGTTTGTTGTTATGTGTAATAACTGAAATATCCATTTTATATACACTATAAGACATTTATAAGTTTCTTTCTTTGATTCATTTAACATTATATACTGTAATAAGAACTAATCACGTGAAATAGTAAACATATTCTAACACGTGATCACATGTACGGTATATATTGAAGTACGTATGTAATAATACTCTTAAAAAAGCCACGTATCAATATCGATATGATTATAATTTTAATACTGTATACTGCATGTTATTTTACACTTAAGATTCATTGAAGTTCAAAGTATAACAATATTATATGCACATGTTATTAAAGCACTCAAAGACGTTTCGAGTACAAAATAATTTTGTGCCAAGCTTTCCACAAATAAAATTCAAATTTATTTATTTTTCAAAATAACTAACTTATTTTGTCAATCAAACAAACAATGACTTGACATTTTGTTTGTTTATAACACTCAATTCCTGGGAAAAATAAATTGACATTTAAGTGTTACTACAGCTGCTTCAAAATGATTAAAAAACGATTTCCATATGCCCATATGGGGAATCGAAATTCTGCTTAGTAAAAATTAAATATCCGATTATAGCGGGTCTTAGAGACTCTGTAAATCTGTGAAATATCGTGAATTCCCTCATGGTATGGTGATCTGCGTCTTCCACATATTTTGAAAACGGCTGTAATTCAAAGATAAGTGTTTAAGATTTTAATTTTGGTTCAATAATTTTTTGTAAACACAATAAAAATTCATATATTTAAGAGAATTGGTCTTATTCAATTCTGGTGTTTTTAATAATTTATAACGACATATTATTAAGTTGCTTTCTAAATCTAATTATTAGTCAATTGAAATCGAGATATATAAAAATATAAGATTAAGCAGTGTGTATCTTTTTTGTTAACGATTTGCCTACGTACGAGAATGACGACAATATGAGTATGATACATACGTACAAAGATAACGATCAAACAGTGTTAATTCATGCTAAATGAATTAATTAAAAAATTCTCTGGAAAAATTTTTTTTAAGCGTGATGAATCGAAGTTGAAAAAATATTACCATAAGGTGGAATGCTTAAAGACATATAATTATTTATTATACGGCTCCTAGTTGTTCACCCATGACTTTTTTTACTGATATTCTCACGGTTTAATATTAGTCCGCCGTGAAAATATCAACCGTGAGAATATCAGTAAAAAAAAAGTCATGGGTAAAAATTAGGATCCGTGAAATAAAACAGGTATTACACGTATTTGTCGTCGATATCATTAAAATCCCGAATCAATCTCGATATCATTCATCATTGCGGCTGCGCCGCAATACTGAATAATATCTCGATTAATCCGTGATGTTTAATGATATCTATGATAAAACGTGTAATAACTATTGCATAACTACCAATCAATCATGAAGCAAAAACGACGAAAAAAAGATTATTTTACCTATGCTGCTTGTTCTAACCTTAACTATAAAAAAAAAACTAACTCTAACCCTTATTTAATCAAATATAATTATTATAAGCACACTCTTTGGAGTTTCTTATAAGAAGTTTGAGTTTCATATGAGTGTAACTGATACAGTTCAAACGGGTGTTGATGAGTTGAAGTGAAGGTACCAGCATAGAAAAAGACTTTCACAAAACCTTCGAATATTATCAAATGGCCGCTAACATGACAGCCAGAGAATAATTTTTTTTTATAGTTGGGAAATCAGTGTTGAAACGGATAAGCAAAAAACGGTTTACAGCCTTTTTTCAAATGTGTGAACAACTATTTCCATATACCTAAGTGGGAAATCGAAGAATTTGGAATTTAGATTAGTAAAAATTAAACTTCCGATTAGAGCGGGTCTTGAAAACTCCGGAAATCTGGGAAATGAATTCCTCATGACATGGTGATCTGCGACCACTCACACCTTCCTGTAATATTACCTGAAATCCGCAGATGCTTACAACCACACGGAATTTATAAATTTGCTATTTGTCACTGGATAAATGAATAATCTGATTTGGGAAATAACATGTACATATAATATTGTAAACTTTGAACTTCGATGTATATTGTCACGGGCAGTATAAATCGTGCAGACTCGCCGTTTTCAAACCCAACAATATTGAGTGAGAAAAACATATAGTACAGTAGTATGAAATATTGAAACAATGTATACATGTAATCACGCGTTAGAATATTATTAATTCACATAACACTAAATTAATTAAGCAAGGATTAATAAAAGGCGAATGATATTTTCACACTCATGTAAATCACTTTTTTTAAAACTTTAATCGAAGGTATCTCGATGACCACCGGATCAAATTCGACGAATTTTTTATTGGAATTCTACAAGTATGCTGAATTCGAATAAAAAAAAAAATTCATCGAACTGGTCAGCTGGTTATCGAGATATCTTCAATCAAAGTTAGAGAAAATTTTGCCGCGGCTAATATTTTGATAGACGTTTGGATTTTTTTAAAAACTTTGATCGAAGGTATCTCAACGACCAGATGACTAAATTCGATGAAATTTTTTTTTATTAGGATTCTACTATTATGCAAAATTCAAATAAAAAAAATTCATCGAATTTAGTCATCTGGTTGTCGAAATACCGATACCTTCGATCAAAGTTTTGAAAAAAATCTAAACGTAATAGCCGCGGCAAAATTTTCTCTAACTTTGATTGAAGGTATCTCGATAACAGCCTGACCAATTCGATGAATTTTTTTTTTTTTTTTGAATTCTGCATACTTATAGAAATCTAATAAAATTCATCGAATTTGATCAGGTGGTCGACGAGATACCTTCGATTAAAGTTTTTAAAAAAGTGATCTACATGGGTGTGGAAATATCATTCGTCTTAATAAAATCATATATGGAAATTTCGATTATTATAACGACACTCTTTAACGAAATCAGTATGTTTATTCGTCTATATGAATGAAAATAACTAATGATCTGTATTCCACGTAGGCAAACGATTTAAAATCAGAACTTCAATCAAACATAAAATTATTTTACACAACCCTTTTTTCCGAGACTATTCACTATAAAGTATTTGAGAAAGGGAACAAAAAATCTTTGTTCTCTAATCGGTTCTGGGCATTGAATATAGCATTCAGTTAATCACAGACTGGAAAGATATAGCATTTATAGATTTGGAGAGGTATAGCATTCGGATCTTTAATCACAGACTGGAAAGATATAGCATTTATAGATTTAACTGCAGATTGAAGAGGTATAGCATTCGGAGATCGAAGGTTTAACTGTAAATTATTAATAAATATATATACTGTAGATAAATTTAAAATTCTATAAGATAATGCCTAAAAGATACGTCATATTTGTAAACATTCTGTAACTGATTATGTATTATGTTGATATTCGTTCAACGAGAGTTTATTTTAAAACATGGAATGAATCCTTACTTACAGTACTTGTTTGAACGGATAAAATTGACTGGTAATTGTATCCCTATATTGATACTGCATCAATACTAAAAAAAACAACTGTTTAAGCAATTAGATCAGCAATGTAACCTTAGCATTGTATTCAATGGATCTCTAATCAGAAAGACTCGCTTCATTTAATGATTGTCCTATTGGTGATTCATGCTATTCGTAAAGTACGCACGTACGTCGCATATCTATTTATTTTTGCTGGTGTGACAAAAGATCAGACAATGTTAATGTTAAAAAAATTACGTAATATAAAAAAGTTTTCTTCAAAAAATTAATTAAATTTATTGCGCGGTGCAATCAAGAAATCTGGTTTGTTTGGAATGTACGCTTTAAAATAAACCGTTTACATAAGATGATGCAAGTTACTAATTCAAAGTCACATGACGCATGACCAATGATTCAGAGCAAACAAAAAAGAGAAGCTTTTCATTAAACTGCTAAAATAATAGTTCAAATAGGTTAATTATTAGAGTTTGATTAAAGAGATTTTGCTTCAAGAAAAATGTAGAAATTCAACAAATGAAGTTGAGCAAATAATTTTCGCCATACCCATAGGGGAGAAAAGCAGACTCACATTTCAAACCATTATTAATTTACATTGTAGATTGTGCATAATGATGTAACTCAAACCCGATAGTTTCGTTATGTGACGAACCCCAAACTCCAAACTGTGAAAAACTAGTCCGCAACAAAATTCCAAATACCATGATATCATATAAAATATCATTTTTATTTACCATAAATTTATGAATGTACTTTTGTTTTGATTAAACTGCCGTAATTGGTGCCGAATATTCATGTAGGAATAGTATAAGATATTAATGAAATTAAGTTTAACTTGCAATTATTCTTCAATCCGGTTCTAGATAATACACAGATTATGAAATCAATAATAAATTAATTTTTAACCAATACCGATACCAATAATGTTAATATATCGTCTAAACTTGTTATTTTCATAAAAGACTAACCTTATATAAGACTCGGAAATTTTTAAATTCCAGAATGATTATTAATCAAATTATTTACATATCCTGAGTTATAGTCTAGATCGGTCTGTAACATTATCGTGAAAAAAAAAACTTTTATACGAGATAATTATCATACATTTTTTAACAAAGAACTCTGTTGTAGTAACGTATGTACGTACGTACGTTTATGTATATGATGAAAGAGTTAAATGAATCCAAATTAGGAAAAATAAAAGCAATGAAGTGCTAAATTTATAAAAGTGCCACAGTCTTTACCTTTATGATAAATTTTCCTTTGCCACACATCGAGAACTTTCCTTAAATACCATATATTCTAAAACGTGAATTTTCTTTTTGTCACATAATTTATGTGTTCATTTTGTTTGGGCGTTCTCCACACACACATTAAATACTATCCAATTTTAGTTAGACTATGTAATGCAAAATATACATCAAAGATTAATTATAATTGATTCATGAATGAGAATTATCTTTCCGGTCAATTTTTCAATATTTTGCCACAATATAAATTCCAGATCATTAAAGGTGCCTATTCAGCATTTATAGATTCTGAGATTGACTATCATATATTTTTCTGTGGCTCTAAGGGCTATGCATAGCATGAATGTTAATCAGTGTTGAAAAAGCAAGCCGATACAAATCAGTGCATAATCCTTCAATCTATAATATCGAAAATATTGAATTAGACTTTTTGTAGTATGTTTTATAGTCGGGGTTTCAATTTTGATAAAATAAATGAATAGATAGCTCATTTATTTTAAATAAGCAGTATATCAATTTTAGACAAATTTGAATTAAATGCAGTAATGATCATTGTCAATTAAAAGCGTATTTCATGAATGATACTAACTACTGAGTGTAGAGAGGATTGCTATGCAAAACGATATCAGAACTTCATTTTTGATGATAAAAATTAAATAAAAACGTGACTGTCTGCTACAATAAATCTCATGTGACCTGTAATTATTGCTCCGGACTTTTAAGGTTTCACTTTCCTCAAATAATTAAATGGTTATTGTAAAAAGCTTCATACCAATGTTTAAATTCGTTTCCATACTTTAAGTAATTTGTTTTTTTATTTATATCATGCTATTGACTTTCTTCGTGAAAGTTTATAATGTCTCGTGATTTCAAATACATCAGCCAATATTAATTATTGCTAATACTGTAAGAAATTTGCAGTCAATTCTCGCTAAATTGAATCCTTAGACTTATTTAAAAAAAAAAATTACGGTTTATAAACGTATTAAATATTTAATCCAAACTTTATAATAAAATTTAAAAATTTTAAAGTTCGGTTTAGACAGAGCTTATCAGTTTAAAGAGAATTCATTGTATGTACCAGGTATATCAATAGAAAATTAAAAAATGCCCATGTGAACAAAAACAAATGACAATGATTATATATATATATGCCATATTAATACAAAAACAAAGCTGTGTTACAAACATTACATTATTCCCTCGATAATACATAATTAGAGCCTGGCAAGCTACAGTTTCTAGCCCGCTAATTTTACAAACAAATTCCATGCCTATTTCTAAAAATTCATAGGTCAATTGCTTTAAAGAGAAAAAGTATTATTATTCCCTTTTAAGAACGGCTGAGCATCAATAATTTATTTTGACCTACCGACAGAATCACACGGCTTTTAATAATTCCTAAGTTACCTAAATATTTAACCATGAAATTTATTGTTATAAATAAGTATATTTCATAAAGATAATATCTACACTATATATATGTATATATATTATTCGGATCAAAATTTTTTCTATTTTCAATTACGAAGAAAATCCTTATTACATCTGATATTGTGATAGTATAATAATTATACGAATGCATATATTAAATCGTGTTATTTATGAAACATTTAATTTAAGCCACCCCCGCAATATGCGATTATATTCTGTGCAAAAGAAAAAATAAAATAAAATAAATAAAAAATAAAGAACAAGGAAAAGATATAGCATAAAACCTTCTTCGGAGAACTATTTGGTGCAACGTAAACTTAAACTCATGACCAGCTATTCTCATATCACTCTTTTAAATTGCCAAATTAGAAAACTAACCGTTAATATTTAAATTATTTATAATAAAACCAATTAAATATCCAATCAAGTGATTTAATATATTCACCATATGAGTTATTTTTGCTTATAAATGCCTCGATCAAAATAAAAAAAATTTATACTTCGTCGTCGTTTTCTTGTAAGTATTTTATAATTTCTTTTTTAAATGAATCCTTGTTAATATTTTACATAAAACATCTAAATTTATAAATTTCAATCTCAAAACTATTCATTCACTTCTTTATATTCTTTATATTTAATTTTATTTAGCTGTCCTTTAAATATGACGTTATCATCATCACCAGATACTTGTGTTGAGTGTAAACAAATTCTCAATAATAATTCGTGGTGTTCATGCCAAAACGAAAGGAACGTGCGAAGTTTTAATAAATGGACTAGCAATGATTAAAAAATGGATAATATTATTCAATTTACTCAGCGCTGCGCACGAAAGAGTATGAATTACCTTGAATGGATTCCATTTGATGATCTTGATTGTATTAAGGTTGCTTTATCTTCGTTATGAGACTATACGATAAAAATTTATATCAATATATCGATGATATAGAAAATTTTCGTTGGGAAAATGTGATTTTTATGCTTCGCAGTATAATATATGGTCTTAAACGAATACATGATAATGGTCATTATCACGGCAATCTTCATGGTGGTAACTTGTTAATTTCGGCCAATAATGCAATAATCACAGACATCGGTTTATATGGTCCTGCAGATAGAACTAATTACTAGGTAAATGGAGGCCATTTAAGGCCCGAAGGACTTATCACGGATCAGTCCGACAATGGGTATTTTCGGAGAAATGTTTGTTTTTATCAGATCAACCCTTAATTTGCGGACACACACACATCCAGGTCACTATGACTCTCCCGTAATGTCCTTCGGACAATGATATTTATGGTGTCTTACCTTACATTGCACCTGAAGTATTAAGAGGTAATAAATATAAACAAGCATCAGACATATATAGCTTTGGTCTTTTAATGTGGACTTTATCAGAATGCGAGCGCCCATTTTGTAAAGATCCTCATGACCTTGATCTTGCAACACGCATATGTAATGGTTTACGACCAGAAATCGTTACTAATACTCCGGAAGTATACTTATCACTAATGAAAAGATGCTGGCATCAAAATCCTGAAGAACGTCCTAATATTGTAGAACTATATGAGAAGTTAGATAGTTGGGCAACGGCTATACAACATAATCCTACTTGTCGAACTATTGACTCTATGGCAATATACAAGAGTCGATTATTAAACTTTCGATCCCTTCACGTTACACGATGATCACAATAATGCATTATTTAAATATCCGATACGTAATTTGGCAAAATCTAAAGTTATTTATAATAATTTAATTTTTAAAGTGGCAAAATCTAATGTTATTTATATCGATAATTTAATTTCTAGAGTGAGCGGATATATTTTTTTTACGATATAATTTCTATTGTAATTCGAGTAAAATCCGAATATCATTACGGCGCATTTGCCAAATACCCCAAAATTTGAAAAATTTGGCTGCTAATACGTAAATAGTAATTTTGGCTAAGATATTCAATGCTTCCCAGGTTAAGGTGTGTCATTATAATAAATTTATATTTCTAATTAAATGCGTCAAAGAGTGGGAAGATTGGTTAGCCTGTGGGGAAAATGGGTTAGACGCATTGTTATTATAGTTCGGAGTGGCAAGAATTTTTTTTTGGGGTTCAATATTAAAAAATCGATAATAAACTTTGTCCCCAAAACTTAAATTTGGGGACAAAAAATTGACAAACGCGCCGTAATGTGTAACATTAAGAAATTAAGATTAAGAATTTTCACAACTTAAAAATAAGCGTTTAATAAATCTTATAAAAAAATACTTTAATTTTATACAATCGTATAAATAGAAGTATAACTTGATAAAAATTTGAGTTATTATTATTACGTATTATTATTATTTGATTTAAGTTGATACTGTAAGTTATATATTACTTTTTTTTGTCCAACATCTGAAAAGAATTTGTAATTTCTGAATTACCATTACTTTTAATGTAATATAATATACGTATTTCCTTTTTGGAAAAATGAAATTTGATTTACATAAAATTAGTTCGTAATGATCAATAGCTATTAAAAAAGCAATAGATTATTTATTATAAGATTGATTTTATTTTTGATATTTGTTTTTTCCCCTCTCATTATTCAATAACAGTAAAAAAAAAATAAAGATTAAAAAGTTTAAAGAAAAAGGTAAACAAGAAAGAAAGGTCTATTATCTAGAAAAGCCATTTCTACATAAATAAGTTTATGCTTCATTACCAATATTATCACTACGAGTAACAAATAAAAGTAATGTTCCTATGAGAATAGTTAAGCATTGTTCATGCGTATGCTCTATCTTCCTTCCTCCGATTATCTCAAGTTATTGGCTCCATGATTCAATGACGCTAATGTCCTATTTGCATAGAGTGCACCCGCAAGTGCCTCTCCTCGAGAATCTATTTCAATAAAAAAAAGGTATTTTTTTAAGACTATTTAAAAAAGTTTATTTCATTTCCATGAATGCATTTGTTTATATGATTTACCTTTATTACGTATTACATGTTCAACTACACATCTAGTTGAGAAAATGAAGTTTATTGGTTTTATTCCATGAAATATCCGTTTGCAATTTCGATTTTTAAAGGTTTACAAACTAAATAAGTTACAGTATAATTTTCCGCAGATATACTCTCGGGACGCATAATATTTAAATTTCGAGTTATATGCATATATATAATTTAAAATATTCTTTATATGACGTTTAAAATACAAATGGACCCAACAGAAGAGTCATCAAATAAATTTCACCGGATTGTGATAATTCATGAAATAAACTATTTTGTTAAAGTGAATTAACTATTAACTAACTATTAACTAGTTAAAGTTACTCTAACAAATGAACATCACCAGTCTTGAGGAAACCATACTAGCCATTTCCTAAAAAAGTATTATAAAATCATAAAATTCTTAATTTTCTTTTATGTCTATATTTATCCAATTTAATAAATTCAATTAACTAACTTTATATAAATCAATTATCATATTTCGAAAATAAGTGAGGGTACAAAATGTCCTATTTCTACTTTGAAATTTTAAAATCAGAAAAAGAAAAGTTGTCCGGAGATATAATGAATATCCTTTTTTTGATAATTTGTTGTTATCATATTTATCATATGATATTATCGTAATAAAAAATCATAAGTAATGTTACAGAGTTATTATATAATAAGCTTACAAATCAAA